GTGCGAAGACTTGCTCAGTACCTCACGGCTTATCACGAAGAAGCAGGCGCTGGAAAGCGAGCCCCATCTGAACGAGGAGCTTGTGTATAGCACGGACGTCTTGCGGCCGCGCTGAGGGTCTCCTGTCTACAGAGATACTATGAGCGTGCTCTGGAGGCCTGCGCGATCCGCGGATCAAAGTTTTGGTATCGGCAGCCAGCGGAGAGGCTGGAGAGGACGTCGTGGCTGCCGGTCGAGTGTCCGTATCTGGCGTGATACGTCCAGTGAGTCCATAATTCCCTCACACGTCTTTGCTTCCGAGAGGTCCTCGAGCAGGATTGTGACCGTATCGCTCACTCTTTATTCTACCAATGAGGACGCAGTCTACGATGGTGCTGTTAGAATGCGTCGGAACAACGACAGGCACATACTTACAGGCCAGGTGCCGGCTTTGTTCCTCCGGGGCATGCGCCTACGTCGCCAGGTCAGGAGTTGCCGCCAATTTATGGTGGACTCGTCGTAGATAGCCCATTACCAACAGCGCTGGGTGTTTGCTTTAGTGCCGCACGGAGGGACCTTGCAGAACCGCTTCTCGTCTAACACCTCGTGCAGGTTGTTGGGAGCTGATCACGATAATCTTGCCGCCTACACGGAACTCTGAGCACGCGTACAAGTTGAATTCATGACTGCGACATACTGAGCAAGTCGAGCCGGTGAATGTCGCGATAACTCTTAGCAAGGTGATTATAGGAGCTGATCGCTATCTCGCGGCAAACCATAGTTGCATAGCCGAGAAACGGAATGAACGGCGACGAAGGAATGCGAGTGGAGACGGGTATGCTGCAGATTTCTGGTCGCATACAAGCGTCTTGTCTAGAACAGTTCTGGTACGCGACTTGAGGCCCGTGCCATTAGTTGATGTTCCTCCGTTAAATACAGAAACCTCTCGAGAGACTAGTTCAAGCTCATCAGCTAGTGCTCGCGCTTGCCCAACACCGTTGGCCAGGCAAGTCGAGGCCATGTGTGGAAAATTCGCGGAGTCACAATTGCCACTAAGTGTCTATGATGAGTCGGTCGTCTGTCATTCCGAAAACGAATAAGCGAGTAATTTCCTGGTTGCTTCGGTGGAAACTTTCAGCGGAGTCAGATCTTGTCTTACATGAAGCATGAGTAAAGTCACCAGATATATATATATTCTGTAAAGCAGATGGGCGTACGGTCCCAGCCGGGGACGCACTCACTCGCAGAATCCGACGGGCATGGGTGAGCCCAAGCGGTCTCCCGGGGGCAAGGGTGCCTTAATGTCACGTGTACCCGGGACCCCGATCGACGCCACGACGCTACCGCATGGTAAAAATCTTCGCATTCCCGCTCTCAAACTTCCAGTCGTATCTCTCCAGATCTCTCCCTCTCCCTTCATACACCTAGCTGTGACGTGAGTCACCACATCTCTCCACGACGACACTGACGACGACAATCAGCTTGTGCTGTCCAAGCTCCAGCTCACACCTGGTTCACGACTCTAGTCGTCTGGAGGTACGCAACAAAGAATTGATAGACGAGGGCTCACTACTTTACACACTGCAAGACCATTTCAGAGCTATTTTCTGCGATTTGTTGGATAAGATCACGGGCCGCTACATCATGACGAAGTCAAGCCGCATCTTGGGGTTCTGCGTTGTCGCCGGCTGGTTTGCGGCGATCAGAGGCTGGTGTGCAACGACCGGAGGCTGGTGCGCGACCACTGGGGGTTGGTGTGCGACGATAGGAGGCAATATGATGTTGTATGGCGGGTTAGGGAGACCAGCGAGTACCTGGACGATTGGCGGGAGGTAGGTAGGGGCGGGCAGAGCTGGCGCGGCGGGCGGAGGCGGTATGACGATGAAGGCACCTTGAGCCGGCTGCGCGGCCAGTGCAGCGACCGCGGGAACCGGCACAACGACCGGCGCGGCTGGCGTAGGGGGAGGCGAAGCAACGACCGCGGCGGGCGCAGCTGTCTGCATGCTGGCAGCACCTGCCGCGCGGGCTCGGTCATGGTTCTCCACATGGCGAGACGGGTGGCAGAAGGACGGGCGGACTGGGCTGGGTCTGCTGCACTTAGGCCTGGGACCCTCGTGGGCACGGCCGTCATCGTCGTCCTCGCTGGGGCCGGCGGCAATGTTCTCCTTGTTCGCGGCGT